TGAAGGACAATACATTTATAGGTTGAAGGCGACGGTTTAGTACCAGTGGTGGCCGAACATCAACTGACAATCATTAAATGCCTAGAGAATTGTACCGATAGGACATTTCGGTCACCTCTATCGCCTACGTCACGGTGATGACGTCATGGCAAATCAGGTTAAAGACCGATGACTCAATTCGTTTCTTGTCATTTTACTCCAAAAGACGAGGGAATTATCTGTATACAGTTAAAATTGGGTCCACCTAATTTTACTAATTAACCGAGACCATGGGATGGATCGAGGATCAGCCCCATAGCATATAGGACCGAGACATGAGGATAAAGTACCGAGTTCGGGATTCGAGGTACTTGTCGAGATCGAGACTAGTAATGATCGAGGTCGAATGGGATAGATAACGAGCAAGACCGAAGATAGCATAATAACAAAAATGCGAGATATCCGTGACTGGTCGAAGATCATGACAAAAATCTCGGAACAGATCAAATCAAGGGCGGTTGTTTAGCTAATTATGGGATTTTCTTTTGTAATTAAAATTGTATCGTAAATATATTTCTTCTACTATGTAAAGAGGGTCTTAGCCATTTGTAATCATCTTACATTCACGCATATCAAAACAATATGTTACATTTTTACCCCTTATAAGCTCTGTTGTTCAGTTCATATTTTCAATAGCCTGTTCAATTAGTTCGAGGGCCATAATTATTCATCACATTGGTTTGCTTTGTTTTATTGCCAATTCCTAGCATTAATTCTATATTTTTCAGTTTTTGCCAAGTGAAATCACATGTCTTTAAAATCACTTATAAGTTTAATTGTTATCTGATTTCAAGGGTAAACAAATTCCCTGCTCTGAGATATATTGTATTTTTTCCATAAATAAATCTATGATTTTTTCTTTCACAGTCAATCATAACTACCAAGGAATGTGATGTAACGGATGAGATTCTTTGAACCAAAGATATATGTTCGAGTTCTTAGAAAAAATTCTCGGTAGAGCGTTTCCTCTTTAGTGGTTTATACGCAGCGTGAATCAAATTAATCGAATCAATAGGTATTGGATACCGAATGATTAAACCAAAAACAATGTTCTAACCCTATTGTCATATATATAGTTACGTTATATAACGTTGGAGCGTAGCCGCATAGGAGATTTAGTAAATATACTTTATTTGTTTAGAGAGGTCGTGAAAAGTTTGGATTTTAATTGAAGTCGTTATCTCTATTGTTTATAAGGAAAGGGCAATAATGGAAATGGAGTACAATTTTCCTTTATTACTAAAGTAATACATGTGCACCACATGGTCTTATATAAGAGATAGTGATTGACGAAGATGAAGGGTAACTTATTAATGCAAGATATCTATGTTTATACATTCTTTGTAATTCAACATTCAACACTCACATGACTTTCACAGTTAGTTCCCTTTTGCTCTACTCCATAAAATTCATCACCAAAGTAGGATGTCTTTTACTGCTCAAAGGGACAGTAGTAATAATGTATATACTTGTTTCAAATGTTGCTGTACTTTCATTAGTCTTTCTTATGCTACTAGATTCAAGACTACTAACCAGAAAATGGCTCTTTTCCGACTACAAAAAAGTACTCGATATCTTTTGACTACAGTACTACTCGGAATTTTTTTTCCAGACGTATCATTTCTCGACTACACCAAAACGAATGAAACGTAGTCGTAAAATTGGATTTTCTGACTACTTTCCAACTATTTTGGTTGTCCGAAAACTGTGTTTTTCTAGTAGTATCCAAACTTAGCCAAAGAGGGACTCGATAGGCAAATTAACTAAGGGGATGGAGTTGGTTGGGGGGTGGGGGTGAGTATTTTCTACGAGCAACAAAAACAATCTTGCAAAACTCCAAAATAATGATTAAATGGAGTATCCGGTAAAATTGGAATTATACGGAGAAGATTAGTATAACTCGTGCACAAGAAATAGTAGCACAAATAAATAAATGGTTTACTATAGATTAATTCGCTTTAATAGCTAGATAAATATCAAGCTAACATTAAATTTCATTTTGATTGATGTAATACCTAAAGTTTGATTCTCCTTTTTGATCTACGGTGGCCCGACGTAGCAGAGGTGAAAGGAAATAATCTGATAGGATTCGAACATTGCGTCTTTTATGAATTCTACCAATAAATTACTATTCAAATTCCAGTAATATCTTATAATTCAAGAAACCAAACCTATTAGTCCTATTTTCTATTTCTCATTTGAAGGCCTATAAGTGGAGCAGTTTTAATAGCTAGTGACATATAATTTACATCTGCAACATAAATAGAACAACTATTGAAAATTTGTCGAAAGTGATGTTTGATGGATGCTCATATTATCACATAATAGGTCACTACATTACCAAATTGAGCCCCTCCTTTTATTTCTTTCCTTTTTCTTTAGTGGGAATTTTGAGTTCAAGAAATTTAACAAGCAAGGTTGTGTAAAAATAGTAGCCAAAAAGTGGTAAAGTTATAATTTGAGGGGGTCCCTATATATATACTCCCTATATATGTATTTTGGCACTATACATCCAAGATTGGTAAAGACTTCTGTAAGTGAAACTCTCACAAATTGTTCGCACACAATATGAACAAAATACAAATAGGACAGTTCAGTGCACTAAGCTCCCGCTATGCGCGGGTTTGGGGAAGGATTGGACCACAAGGGTCTATCATACACAGCTTTATCCTGCATTTCTGCAAGAGACTGTTTCTACGGCTCGAACCCGTGACCCCCTGATCACATTACAACAACTTTACCAGTTATGCCAAGACTTACCTTCAATATAAACAAAATAATAATTATTAAAAAGAAGATGTTAAAGCTAAAAGTCAAAAACAGATGTAGCCTTGTGAATTTTATTGCAGGCAGAGAAAAGGAATCTGTAAGGATGAGAAAAATAATTGCCCTATTGGCATTTGGCAGCACAAGAAAAGAGGGGGTTTGGGTTGGGGCCTNTTAAGCTAAGTGCTAGATTATTATTTGTACTATGATTAACCTATCTTGTGCTTCTTCTGCCATTTCTGCCTTTTCCCTTCCTCCTAGACTAGACACAAGAAAAATTTATTTTACAAATATTATTTTAGTTATATGATCTTTTTTACAAAAGATTACTAAAGAATTAACATATGAAATCCTTGTATTATCGTTTTCTTTTATCCAAATTATAAATAGTTCCCTACTTCATTTGACCCCTATAAAAATAGAAGACAATTGGATTTTATAGGTGAGTTTGGTTTCATATAACCATTAAAAAAAAGTATACATTTACATTGATTTTACATCTAACAAGAAAAGTGGGTGCAGTAGTACTATGTATCCATTAAACTTAAAATCTTGAATGGCATATCTCAAAGATGTAAATTTTGTGGAAATATACTGTATACCACTCAAAGGACAATAGGATTTTGTCCAAGGACTATGATGAATTATTATCACCATATATGCCACTATATATAGTTGCCGGCAAAAGAAATTGTACTAGTGACAGATATTTTCCATCTTTACACACTCAAACCACCCCCCCCCCCCCCCAATTTTGCAAGCCCACTCAGACCTTCCTATGTGAAAAAACAAAGTAAATTTTGAGAACAAATCTTTTGCATGTCTATTTTGGTGTTCCTTTAGTATTTAGGTGCTTATGTTGCATATAAGTTAATTTCTTAATGGATCAATTCTATTAAAAGATACTCCCATTATCCCAATTTATGCGAGTGTTTGATTCGATACAATATTTAAAGCAAGAAAGCTTTTCTTAAATTCTTGATTCAAAACATGTCATAGATATCTTTGTGGTTATAATCATTTTATTAAGAGAAACATATGAAGTTTAAAATTAAATTATTTTTTGAACAGATTAAAAAAAAAGAAGCATGACACATAAGTTTAAAACATATATCACTTGACACTATACAAGAAAGGATCTTACTTACAAGGGTCGTACGACATCCCTAGGACCTAAGTCATAAAAGCAATTGAATATAGGCTTTTAACAAGAAATACTAACAAGTTGAAAGATCATCAAACACATGTTGAAAATATTGTCATGGGATGTGATATCTCATAATGTTTCTTCCATAAAACTAATCGAGTGCAAGCAGTATAATAAAGTGCATTAAATCCCAAAAGAAGCTTATACTATCTCCTATCTTTGCTAAATTTAAATCTTGATGATTTGATCCATCATAAAAAGAGAGGGGTGAATGGAAAAAATGACTGAGATCACCGACAAAAATGCTTAGTGGGCGTTTAGACATAAGAATTGAAAAATTCCGGAAAAAAGTGAAAATGGTATTTGAAAATTAAAGTTGTGTTTGGACATGAATACAATTTGGAGTTGTTTTTAAATTTTTCTAAGTGATTTGAAATGAAAATTTTGAAAAACAGTTTTTTGGAATTTTTCAAATTTCTAAAAAATTCCGAAATTCAACTTCAAATGAAATTTAAAATTTTCATGGACACACTGATTCCGAAAAAAAAAGTGAAAAACTTCTCATGGCCAAACGGGCCCTTAATTTCCTCTTGAAAATTAATGAAGTGTCATGTTGAAGACACAAAAACTGAATCAAGTAGCCACACAAGTGTAATCTTGAAGACTCAAAAAACTCAGTATGGTCCCCAAAGCAAGGAGAAGCCAGTGTATATGTACAAAGTTTTTAACTAAGATACAAAAATGTTACTGCATAACTGTGTATATCTTCTCACTTTCAGAAAACCCCACAGAAGCTTTTTGAGATGCTGCACATATTTGTCTTGCTTACTGCTAACTTCCATGCCAAATATTCTTTCCCAACCACCCTTTTTTGGATGTTTGCAATGAAATATATATGTCTAGAATGTTCAAAGTTTTTCCTTTATTGATTTTTGAATAACCATCTTTTGTCATCTTGACTAAGGTATAAAGCCTAAAAGGTTACCAATAACTGTCTGAATCTGCAAGCAATGGTAGTAAAATTCAAAAGTAGTAGGACATTTGGAAAGGTAAGGAAGAATGTTAACTTTTACTCAGATATCAAACAATCCTGAATGTGCTCATGCACCTTATTTCCAGAGCAGCACAACTTTTAGTAAATAGTGAGACAGGAGCCACTTAGCTAACTAAGTAAATAGTGAAACAAACTCAATCCAGGCCATTAGCCTAGGTTATATTTACAATGCTGTATAACACAAGGAATGAACAAATAGTTGGCCAACGAAAACGATTGGCCAGGAAGACACGTATGGTGAGATTTACAACTATATAGTGACAAACATTTACGAATTGAAAACAGAAAACGCAGGTGACTGAGATTAGGCTCGCTACTTTGTTTAACTGCAAGGAAATGCTCACTCATCAGTATCACCATTATTAATCCTGATCTCTAAGAGCTCTTCAAAAGGTTGCCGGCAGATTGGACATTTGTTTGACTGAAGTCTCAATGTGTTCGCACATCCATTGCACATGCACTGGAGAATATGAAAGTTATCAATCAATAAAGAGCAACTAAGATCTAAAAGCCGAATATAGAACCCATTAGAGCATCTCAGAGACATTTATATGTAAAAATGCAAGTGATGCAAGGGAGCCAACCTATTTCTGTATCTTGAGTAACTACTAGTTGGAAGTCATTTACATCAATCGTCTATCTCAATATCTTCCAATTACAGAAATGATACAGGATGAAGAGAGAATTTTGTTATAACTGGAAATGCGGCAAGAATATGATTTACATTCAAAGTAAAAACAGCATTATCAACGACCAATGGAATAAGTATGTCCGGCAGTCTGAGCTATTTTTTACATTTAAGTTTGAGATGGACAATTGATCTACAACTGGAAACTAAACGAATAGCTCAGATAGTAGTAAAAGTTTGAGCACTAAAAACCAATGGAAGTTTGTCATTAACTCAAAATTTCTTATCCAGAAAAGAGTATGGAAAAAATAAAGCAGGTGAAATGGAGGCCGCAATAGGTTCTTATCCAGTGTAGTGCATTACACTAAAAAAGAAATCCACATTCAGCAAGAAAGCAAATGCAGCAGTTTGGTGCTTATTGAAAAACCAGGACAGAGTTTAGTGGTTCTCACCATATGTCGGCATGGAAGCACTGCTGTGTCACTGGGTTCAGTCATGCATATTACACAATCCTTGCCTGAGCCATCGTTCTCATAACCGGGGCCAGAGTTTCCAATTCCATATAACTCATGCAGCTCATAGCGAGCATTGTCAACCCATAAAATCTGCCTGATGATTCTCACTCTGAAAGCCCCTTCATTATCCTTCTCCAGTACAGCTTGACTAATTTGCATATGGAGGGACGTTTTAGGCTGAGTATTGCTATTATGATCCTCCGTTAAAAAAGATGGAAGGCAGGTTGTAGCAGTTATTACAAGGGCAAAAACATTGTTTTCTGATGACAGTTCGGAGAGATCGTCCATTTCAAAGAAGCCTACGTCAATGCCCGTCCCAGAAGGCTGACAAAATTTCTGTCCAAGTCCTCTCTGGAAAGGAATTGTTATAGGTACATGGACGTGGGGATATAATGGAACAAATCTGCAATGAGGCTCTTCCTTTACAAAATAAAACACCGTGATGCTGTACAAAGAAAGGGGGAAAACAAAAAGAAGAGTAATCAGTTCATGATCTAAACATCAAGGATTCAACAATAAGATAGTCTATCTGTAAGCTATAAGACAACTATTATGTACTGGTTCTCCTGCCAATTTGGAGCGCATAATTCCCACTGCATATAACACCACATACTACCTTAAATCAAATTATATGAACACCACTTCACCTCTGTAAAATGAAGTGCCACAAAGTTGCACGACACTACATTGTTTCTTTTGAGGCTCCAAGCAGTTCTTCACTATCATCTGACTAATATCTAAAACCCAATTATAGAGAATAAGACATGGCAAATTTTAAATACTTCTCAAGTAAGTATTCCGCTAAACTCTTTTTGACATTTTTTGTTCCAACTTTGAATAACAGCAAGAAATATCTCCTCATGTTATTGAATATAACATATTCTTACCTGATCACAAAAAAGAACCACATAAAGACATTCCCTAAAACTCTGAAATGTAATAAAGATAATTTACACAGAACAGCATGACCAAAATATGTTTCTGGGTACCATTTAGTAATTTCCCATATGAAAGCAAATAGGGGGATGTGGCAACTCCAAAAGGTTATGTTCCATTTGATCAATTTTCCTATTTTTTTCCTGGTCCAAAGTTTCTATCAATATTTGACTTTTGCCTACTCCATATCCTCTTCTTTCTGATCACAGTGATAGCCTAAGGCCTTATTGGTGTTTGTTTTTTTTGGATGAAGTAATGAGTTTTATAGAAAAAGGCATCAAGAAGATGCAAGTACAAGAGAGAGGGAAAAAGTCAACTTTGATACAAAAAAAAGAAAAAAAGAAATACCAGGCTAAAGCAAAAGAGCTGACAAAATCCAAAATACTTATTGGCGATATTACTGCTCCTTCGAGCAGCAACGAGGGATCAATTGGATCACTTCAAATTGGACATAATCTTTTACTTTTATCATGCAATTCTAGTATATGCATAAATGAGAAGATTATTCCGTAGAAAGATTAAAGTGGATTCGCACTCATATGCATAAGAATTATATAAGAAGAATCTTGTACAACACTGATGACAACAGCTTGACATATGTGTAAACTACAAACACATAATGATGCAAGCAGAAATGAAAGCTGTGAAGAACATGCCACCTGCTTTCGAATGGAAAAATCTTGACCAAAAGGAACATCTTAGGTGGAAATCCTTTATGCAGTTTAAATTACAAAACAGGTAGGTCGTTTTTGGTGTAAAAATAGTGAGCATTCTTCTCTGTCCATAATTTGTGGGTGTAAAACTCAAAAGTTCCTTCTGTAGGTGGTCCATCCCCAACATTTAAATGTTGCCCTCATTAGATTAAAGATGTAAGCCTCAATCCTCTTTAATTCCAGCGAACGAGATAAACACCTCAAGAAATTCTTCTCTTCCCAAGACTTAAAAGGGCTACAGACTAATCAAGGGTTACACTAGAACATGATATCTAGCGCCACGATGTGATGCCACTGAGCAAGATGCAGATATATTCAAATTACCTTTAGTCCCAACAGATGTTATAGAGACAAAAATAAGAAAGAGCTTCTGAACCCCGAAGAGGTAGGAGGAAAGCTTCTGTTAGTTGAAAATTCAAGTGTCTTACCGGTGAGAGAGAAGGATGCATATTTTGGTAGTATTTATGGAGGATGATGGTTCATATGAACAAGAGTTAGAGTCAAGGTTTCTGAGGCATGACTGGATCACTCTTTTTAGTGTGTTAACTGAACTCACATGTAGTTTACTGATGAGCTTAGACAAGTACGCTCCCATGACACAATGATACCTTATGAATGCTGTGGTAAGCAATAATGACAGAATTCACTTGTTCTCTCATTCAAAGCTTTGAGAATTCACTTTATATATCTGGTAGAAATTTACTGCAAACTCTCCAACAGTCATACCATGTCATAATATTTCAATTAACAGTCAGTTGGCCGCACTATTTATACACCAAGGAAGACGCTAATGGTCTTTTGGTTGGTGAACAAGTTATATTGGGATTATAATAAGGAGATAAAGTAATGACGGGATTACTTGGTGGATATAGCTTTTTAGGTAGATGTTTGGTGGACTAAAAATGGGATATATAGGGTAAAATATAAAACATGTGTTTGGTTTGCATCGCGTACCTGCTATCTCCCACTAGCACAGATACCGGGTAACTCTACCTAACAAGGCTCAGGCAGATAGGACATAATCACCTAGTGTTTTTCAAGAAAGCCGATTGTGTTCACTTTCTCACCCGTGGCATGTGGATTTTTTTAGCTAACTTAACCCTTTTGCCTCTTCTTAAACCATTTATTTAAGGTAAGTGGCATTTGGAAAGGCTTAGTGAAATGAATAACTTCAAAAATAATTTGGTTCTACTAAACAAATAGAAAATATAAGTAGTACATGGCGCATGTACAAGATGCACTATTCAATGATACCACGAATATTATCAATATGTACTTTAGAAACGGTACAAATTAAATTCACGCCTTGTCGTACTAGTAAAGAATCTTTACGGTACAAGTGCATATACGCCTTTATTCCTATCAATCTTTAAAATATCACTATTATAGTACTATTGTTTAACATGAACATAATATATTTTCATCATGTATTGAAGGAGACATCACCTCGGTTGGAGACTTCACAGCCTTTCTCTAGTCCAATCCACCTCGAAGCTTCCCTATAATTTAATTTGTACCGTTTCTGAAGTACATAAGATAATATTCGTGGTACCACTGAACAACGCATCTTGTACATGCACTATGTCGTACTACTTATATTTTCGATCTTGATGAGTAGAACCAAATTATTTTTGAAATTATTCATTTCACTAAGCCTTTCTAAAGTGCCACTTACCTTTAATAAATGGTTTAAGAAGAGACAAAAGGGTGAAGGTAGCTCAAAAGATCCACATGCCACGGGTGAGAAAGTGAACACAATCGATCCCTTTCTTAAAAAAAAATATGCTAGTTTGCTATACTGATTTTGTGGATGATAAATGGTATAATGTTTTACGTCCCTTAGAAAATAAACTCATTAACATACATAAAGATCATAAAAATTGTAGGATACATTATTGTGGGGGAGGCTCATTCCACAAAGCAGAAGGTGTGCGAATTTAGGGTGAAAACCTATGGTTGAACCCCTATACTCAAAAAGGTGCGATTACGAGATCTTATGTCGTTGGTATAGTCTAGCTGTACCAAAAGCATTGTCGGCAACGTTACAAACTTCCAAACACAGGGATGAACCAGACGTTATTCGGCATTTGATGAAGGAGATCTTAGAGAAGGAAAAGGTACTAGTCGTCCATCATGCACTGGACGATCTTAACAACCTCCAAGGGACTGAAGACCAACATTGGGCTTTGTCACACCTCCTTTTTTACACCCCGAGGGGTATATGGGAGTTTTTCCAATTAAAGTGACATTATTTGAAATAGGATTATTTAATTAATCAGAGTCGCCACTTGGAATAAATTATTTGGTGTCCCAAGTCACCGGTTTATTTTTTAAAATCCCAAATCGAGGAAATTTCGACTTTATTTTGAAAGTCTGCGAACCAGAAATTCTAAGTAAGGAATTCTGTTAACCCGGGAGAAGGTTTAGGCATTTAGGACCTATGTGCATTTATCTTTTACCGCTTTTAATCACTTGATTTGTTCATAATTAAAGAATTGAGTTACGCGTACGTATACTCCTTTCTTTTGGCGCGTCAAAAATCATGTCACGCGAACGTGTCCACAATTAATAACGCTTGGTTTATTTTATTAAGAAAAGTTTGGTTGAAGTTGCGCAAACGCATCCCTCGAGTTATTTTTTAGAATTAAATTTGCAATTATGTTACGCGAACGTATACATAATTACAACAATAGTCTAAATCGGGCCTAAAGCAAACTACGAGTATTATGATTATTTAATATCTAAATTAATATTAATGTGAGGGCCATAGCCTATGGGTTTTTGTTTGTGTATGGCACACCTCGATTTATTTTGAAAATCATAATTGTGTCCCGCGAACGTGTCCACAATTAATCACGCTTTATTATTATTATTATTATTATTATTATTATTATTATTATTATTATTATTATTATTATTATTATTATTATCTATGCTAATTTCGTACTACAGCTACAAGGGAACAATGAGTGTGATGGTATTTGGTTAAGGGGAGATAATGTTTATTTAATTAAATATAATTGGCCAACATACAAATATTTATTCAATAGAAATGGGCTTAACAACATTTCAGCTTAATGGACCAATTTGTTTATTCACTAATCTTGACCCTAAAACTCCACGCAGCTCCCGAATCCTTCTGCCTCTCTGTTTTTAACTATCAAATTATTCTTTAAGAATTAAAATGGAACTAAACACATGGAAAGTTTTTAAACATTAAAATTATATAGATATAAGGCAACACATAAAATAAAATAAACAAATTAGTCTAACTAACATACTCTCAAACAAACCAAACAAAAATATGACGGAAAAGAAAAACAACACCTAGAAATAAGAAGGAAAAAAAAAACGTAAGAAAAGTAGATCAATAAAGGAGAAGAAGAACTAACTTTTCAAATTATCAAAGACCTTCCAACTGGCTTACAAAAGGAACAAAGCGATGAAGTTGAATCAAACAGACCCGTTCACTCGGAGACCTCGAACGGAGCATCGAAAACTCGCCGCGATCTCGACTGAAAGCTTTACTATTTCGACCGGGTTTGGATGGTGGTTGAGCACTGAAATTTCAGGTGTTTGGTTGGCTGTTTGGAGCTGATTTTCAGCTGGTTTGTGGCTCGTTTGAGGGCTGGTTTGGGTGGCTTTAGATGAAGGAGAAGGGGACTGTTTTGGGGTGTTTGAGGGCAACGTTTTTAGGCTGCTTTTGTTGGTCTTGCAGGGCTGTTTTTTAGCTGAGTTTGGAGTCGATTTAGCTGGTGTTTTTGGACTGTTTTTGGAGCTGGTTTGGGGACTGTTT